TTTTTCCATGGAACTACAGTTTCTTCTATTGAAGAACAGTGTTAGAAAACAAGGTCTTAATGCTAGTCATACTCATTTTACTGCGGTGTTATTGCTTTTAGGCCATTTCAGCTAACAGAACAAGGAAAAATATATAAGAGTTGTGCATATATCCAAATATACATACTTATTTCCCTTGCCCACTTCCATCTGTGTCTATATTAAGTTCAAACAAATGTCTACAATGTTAAGCCATCACCATCTGAATTATTCACACCTCCTGATTGTCTATAACTTCCCAATCCAACAGTGAGAAACCTGGTTGCCACCATCCACCACCCATTTACTTAATCATTCAATTTTAGAAGACATATTTAGTAATTTAAAAATTGTTAACTCTTGTCTTCATGGGGAATAAACTTTATGATCTAGGGTAAGATACACATGCACAATTCCTTTTACCTTTAGTTATAGACTCCCCTCAATTCTAGTGACTTCGATCATCATCTTTCCTTCACTTCCTTCAAGTGAGATTTATATTTGTAATATATTTAGATTACATTTTTATCACATTGTAATTCCATTATATGATCCCTTGACTTCCTAATTTAAAAAATGCAGATATTAAGGTTCACTCTTTGGGCCATAAAGTTCTAAGGACTTTGAAAAATGCATAGTCACCTCTTCCCCATTCCAGTATCATATAGAATGTTTTCTTCACTCTAAAAATTCCCTGTCCCTCAAGCTATTCAATCCCCTCCCTTTCCATAAGACTAATCAAATTATACTTACTTTCTACCCAACTATCATTTTTCTCTTGAAATATTTTATATATAAAAGTGACCTAAATCTCAATTTCTGTTAGAAGATTAATATTAAAATATGAAATCTTTTAAAGTGAAAGATCTTGTCTTTATTTTAAATGACTAAGACTGAATTGAATCTTTATTCTGTATTATGATCACTGCCAATATAATTATGGAATGCTTTTAAATAGATAGTGTTGGTCAATGAGCATTAGATTATGAGTTAATAACAATGAAGGGCAACTATTTGAACTGCAGAATGCTAGTATTAGAGGCTTAAGTGTAGCAGCAACAAAACCTATTATTAACAACCAAGAAACCCATAATAAGTTATTAAGTTTCAAGGCAAAAAATAGACAAAAATCAGAAAAAGTCTGAAAATTAAACAATAGTATATCAAACACCTCACTGCATAGTAACTTGGAAATTCTTGAGAAAATCACATGAGAAGTAGAAAAAATAGCATCAGATCTAAAATTCTATTTACCTAATCAGTCTTCTTCCTCAGTTTAGAAAACTTAATGTACTTAATGAGAGTTAAAAATTAACTCCCATATGATAGAATCTGATATTTGAAGCTAACAGTATAATTGTTATTGGAAAATAAATATTTGGGAAAGAAGTCAGCTCCTAACAAGATATGAAACTCTATTATTTCAATTAGATTTAGAAGAAAAGGCTTAGGAAATTATTTTTGTGTGTGATGAAGCCACAGGTTGTATGTTAGTTGGCTTTGTGTCACTGTGACCAATATACCTGACAAGAACAAGTTAGAGGAGGAAAAGTTTCTTTTGGCTTATGATTTGAGAGTCTCCGTCCATGGTCGGTGATTCCATAGCTCTGTTCCAGAGGTGAGCCAGAAGGGCAGGAGGAAAGCTGCTCAGTCCACACCAGCCAGGAATTAGAACCCTCATTCAAGACTCATATATTCCCCAAGGGCATGTCCCTACTGACTCACGTCTTCCCTTCTCACTCTAAACATTCCTCCATTGTCTCACACATGAGCTTTTGAGAGACACTTCTTATCCAAACCATATCAGATTGAAAATCTTGTCATCTTCCATTTTAAATAAATTAAATTCAATAAATATTTCTTGAATTTCTCTTTGTCCAGGCTCACCTCTGACTCATGATCCTCTTGCAACAGCATCCTTAGTAGATGAATTTTTAGGTGCATGGCAGACCATGTTTCTTGATCACAAGATGTGTGGTAAAAAATGTGGTTTCAGTGCAGAAAACTCCTAAAACATTAACTATTATAAGACTTCACTCAATGTCATTGCTGAAAAATTTTTTAATCCTGACTAAACTTGAGACTCTGGAGCTTCACCCAACTTTATGTAAATCAAGAATTTCCCCCAAAGATTCATGTACTGCAGGTGTTTCCCCCAATGCAGCAGTATTCAGAGGTGGGGTTTATGGGAAGTGACTGGATCATGAGGGTTAGGGATTCATCCATTAAGGAATTTGCAATTGATTGGGCTATTGGGAGATGATGGAAACTATAGGCAATGAAAACTAGTTGGAGGGAGTGGGTCCTTGAGGACATCTTTGGGGACTATTTTTCATTCCTAGCACTTTCCCCTTTCTCTTTCTCTGCTTCCTGGATGTCATGAGCTGAACAATTTTCCTCTGCCATGCCTTTCAGGCCCAAAGCAATGGAATCAGCAGACTGTATGAAAACTCCTGAAACCATGAGTCAAAGTAAATCTTTCCCCCTTTAAGTTGTTCATGTCAGGGATTTTGGTCACAGCAATGAAAAGTTGACCAACACAGGGAAGGAACCAGGGAGTAGATTCACTGGCCTCCGGGATGAAGTCCCATTCCTTTGGTATAGCCTATCATTACTTTCATAATGTAGCAATGACCTGCATTTCCAGACTCTCTCTCTCAACTTCCTTCATCTTTGAAAATATTCTAAATTTTAGTTATATTTGTTGCATATTATGCCCTTAATATGTATGCTTTCTTCATGGTCTGCCTGACTTAGGCCAGCCTCTCCTTAAATGGGAAAATCTTGATTTCCTATCAATCCTAACTTCAAGTAACTACTCCAAACTCAGCAGCAAGGAGTTATTTAGTATAAGAAAGTGCATTCCTCATACCTAGAGTGACATTTTTTGACCTACTTTTCCTCACAAAACCAAAACAACCTTAAAGATCATCAATGGGATTGGCTAACTTCACTTAGCATTATCTTCTCTAACAGCCAATCCTCCAAAACCAAATACCAAATGTTTTCTTTGATATAAGGAGGCTGATTCATAGTGGAATAGGAAGCGGGAGCATGGGAGGAATAGACGAACTCCTATTAGGGCAGAGGGGTTGGAGGGGAAGGGAGGGGGCATGGGGTTATAAATGATGGTGGAATGCGATTATCATTATTATCTAAAGTACAGGTGTGAAGACACGAATTGGTGTGAATATAATGTGTATACAACCAGAGATATGAAAACTTGTGCTCTATATGTGTAATAAGAATTATAATGCATTCCACTGTCATATATAATAAAATAAATAAATAAAGAAGGAACTATAACCATATAGTTTTAAATCCTTATGTTTGTACATATTTAAATAACTGTTCAATAAAAATAATTTAAGGAAAAAAATCATCATTGGGCATTTTTATATCCCCAGCACCCAGGGCAATGTCTTGAATATTTCTCCTATCACCTGGTATATTTAGTGCATCTTTTCTGTGTTTAAATATGTTTAGATGCACAAAAAAACATTGTGTTACTATTGCTGTTAATAGAGTCTATACCATGCAGTGTAGGTTGCTATACCACCTGGTTTTCTATGTACTCTCTATGATATTCATAACTTAACAATAAAAAAGTTATGATGCAATAACTTAACAATGTATTACTCAGAATGAGTCTCTATTGTTAAGTGACACTTTACTCTGCATGTATGTGTGTATTCACTTTTAGATCTAACTTTTGAGTCCCAAATTGAACTAAAAAGCAGATAAAAGATGCTCACTGTGTAATATATAACAGATTAACTTCTTACCTTACATTTAATTTCATTTTAATATCCATAGGGTATATTATTAATTAGGAAATTGCATCATTCCATTAGATTAATCTTCATTAAAGTCTCACAAATAGAAATCAATAATTCCATATCACCAAGCAGTTAGTGCTAGATGTTTAGTAGATGGTTATTAGCTCAAAATCTATAGTAGGTGAGAGAACAAAGTTTACTGGTATATACAAACACATCAAAATTTCTTTGTGTTCTGTTTTGGCTTTACAAACATAAGCTTTGACACTTGGATCTCATTTAATTTTTAGCACAGCTATTTTTTTTCCTGACACCAGGGAAATATGTCTGTTTACTGTAGAATAAATGTGGTTTCCTTAAAACATTAAAAAAAATGAAAGTTCATGTTTTATAATGTTAAAAGGATCATGTTAGGTAAGAGTACTTCTTTTCAGAGGAACCATATATGACACAAACAGTGAACAATCGGGAATGCTAGCTGATAATGACATGATCATTTTTGGCAGGTTTTTCATGTAGTTCTGGCAAAAGTGTAGTGATACATTAGTCATTTTCACAGAGAAGATACTGGTCCATGCCAGTCTCTTATTTGGGGTGCCATCTGTACCATTTTTTTGTCTGTAAATTTGAAAATAAAATATATCCATTGGTGGGTACTATTTCTATTTTTTAATCATTGTTGCAGACAAGTTATACCATTCTTAGGGTATAACAAATTGTACACATAGCTAAATTTGCTTTTGGACATTCTTTATTAACTGGAATAGACATCTCCAAATTGCTCTAATAAGTTTTAATACTTCCTTTTATTTTAAATTGCCCATAATTTACTATCTCTGGAGCTCTGGTTAAGCACAGGAGACAGTGAGTTGTACTTTTTTCTTTATTAATAATGGATGAACTCACTTGATCTTCACTGTTTTGGTTCTCTCATCCGTAAATATGGTAATAAGGACATACAGTATTTGAAATGGTGGGCTACATTTCTGTTAAGGTTAAAATAATTCATCTTAAGAGTTGATGATAACAAGGAGGTAAGACTTTCAAAGGTTGCTGACTAACCTCGAGTAAATGTCTAGGATAATAATATGAATTAAACAAAGCTGTAAATTTATAGTGGTGTGACTCTCCTAATCCTGTACTCAATATCTAGTATGTCATTTAATGGGAAGTCCATTTTTTGATTCCTTTTTATTTTTCTAGGTATCTCAGGTGGACAACCTTCACCTCCAGTCTCCAGAATAAACAACTGAGAATGCAGAGAGTAATTTGGAAAAGGTGGACAAGAAATGGAAAATGATAGCAACTACTTACTATTCCCAATATTTAAAATGAGGTTTTTAGTAGCAAAAAAGGCTTGATGTTTTACAAATTAGACTGGGTACTGAGAAAATAGTAAATGTGATGTTACCAAATATTTCTTGTTTAATTATATTCTAAGATGGATAAATAGAAAAAGATAAAGATATAGATATCTCTCATTATAGATAAACTCCAGAAGGCCTTGGAAATATACATACTAGAAATATTCATCATGGATGTCTCACTTCTTGTCAAGTCAAAGATAGATATTAACAGTATTTTTCCCTCTGAAAATCCTGGTTCCCCTCTTACCTGATCCCATGACATGAATATACATTTGCTAAGGCATTGAAGAATACTTCCTCATTCTATCATAGCCTTTCTCCTAAGTGAATTTCCTATTGTTCAAAATCATGTGGACTTTACATTCGTAGGATACTCTTTGTTTCTCTGAATTAAGATAAAACCTTTAAGCTATTATCCTCCCTTCTGAACAGAACCACAAAAATTAACATAATATTACATATGATATAATAGTACAATAAAACTATCCATACTCAACATAAGCCACAGTATGAGGCTGGAGCACTTTCCAGTCTTCCTATTATAAATTTAACACATTTTACAAGCTACTCTGGTTTCCAAAATCCCTGTATTTGTATTATAAAGTTTTCCACTAATAATTTCTCAAAATGACCCTATTGTACACACAGAAAGAAATAGGTAATTTTTCTTTCTAACCTGGTTGGTAAAACAAACATACATCTATAAAATGTACTACCTTGCAATCAAGGCTCATTCTAAATTTGTCTTATTAGTGGGTAGTTCATCTCTTGACTAATGTTCAAAATGCCATTAACTCTACCTCTTCCTCTAACCAGGTCTCTGTGAAATTCCTCTATAGCTCACATCTGGAAAAAGGCATTGCATTGACTTCTACTATAATTATCAAGCTTGAAATGTATTTTGAATAAAAGTACGTAACAGATATTTTGTTGCTTAATTTTCCAAATGAAGAAATATGATTTTTCTGTTGTAAGAAAAATCTCTGTAATTTCAAGTTCTTACTTTTCTAAGTATTTATGCCATTTAATTTATTTATCTATTATTTTGGCCCTTGAGCTATATTTCCACCGTCACATATTTCTTCAGTGCTGATACACACACACACACACACACACACAACAAAGGAGGGCTTGATGTTCAATGCAATAAGCCAGACACAGACATACAAGTATTTCACGTTCTTGTTCATATGTGGAAATTTTAAATAAATGAATAAAAGTCCAACTGAAAGAATAGTGGTTACTAGAGACAGGGAAAGTTGTGGAGAGGGGCAAGGGTGGAAGAAGGGTGGTTGGATATGATCAACGCCTGCCACATGCACATATGGATTAGCACAGTGAATACCACATTTTAAAAATCCTCAAAGGGACCAAGGACATGGGAGAGAAGATGGAGCTCCTGGATGTGCACATGTTGCTAGATTTTACTTTGCTATGTTGACTCTCTATCATCCCAAGAAAGAAAAGTTCAGTTGAAGTAATAAAGAATTAAACATTTTAAACAAGTGATAAAAGGGGGGAAATTTAATGAACCCTCTTTGGTATTCTATAATCAATGTTTTATGTAATAATTATTTTCCTAATATATTGCATTATTACTCAAGACAGTCATAAAATTCTTTTTAATATTCTATGCCCAAGTCCAACTTAAAAATAAATTACTCTAGTTTCTATTCAACTTAAAATATGTATTGGTTAGTTGTTGCAGGAGAATAATTTTAGGAGAAAATAGTGTTGGAAACAGGATAAATCTAAGTGGTAGAGTTCTTGGCTGGCATACATGAGGCCCTGAATTTGATCCCTAGCAACATATACACACACATACATGAACAAAAAATTACAAATCTTGTATGATTTTTAAAGATCCCAAGCTGAAGGTAATCAATTAATCTGGTTTAATTACACAATAATAGAAGAGCAAACACTTATACACTTTCAAGAAATAAAACTTTGAAATCATACATGCTGTCATTATTGATTAAGCCATAATGAAATCTGTCAAAATATGAGAATATCTTTGTATAGTCCAAAATTTCACAAATCTTTATGTGCTTTCTCAAGACTGAGATTAGAAGTTTTAACTTATGTGTCACAAGTTTTTCAGTGGTTATTTTAGCACATATTGAAGAAGGGGGTTTTTAATGCATACAAATGAGTCAAAGTAAAAAAAAAATTGGGAAGAACAAAGTTTGGGTACACTAAGTAATGATGATGAAAACTGGCTTATAAAAGTTCAATCTTCACTTTATGTAATTATTCTATAGCTAGATGCATTAAACTCAGAGAACCCACACAGTGGGCAGGTACAAATGAACACCCATGCAGATGTCTGTTATAAGAACAGAACAACCAACATGCCGTATGATGGGATAAAGCAAAGTGAAGTGCTGGTTATAAGTGGTGTTTAACTTTATTAAGCCAAGAGAACACTATTACTGAAAGTTTATCTGACAATGGTAAATTACTTTGTTGTAATCACATTCATGAGTTGTCTGTGGCCGCCAGTCAAGGTCTGCCATTCATCTAAATGAAATGTTAGCCTTGAAAATGTTAATTTAGGTGCTATAATCTTATCAATACTGAAGACCCTTTAATTTATAAGTTTCTACCATTTTCTCTGAAATGTTCTCACATATTTCTAAGAACAGAAACCATGAAATTGTGGCAATATCAAAATGTCAGCCTGCTACAAAAATTCCTTTGAAATCTTGAACTGTATAGTCATATAGATCTAGACAAAAATATCCTGATTACCTCATTGTGATATATTTCTAAAATACCAGTGAAAATTCACTTGGCCTTACATTATAGAACTCTATTTCCAGAGGATGCCTGTTCCTTTAATTATGGTTATTATGTAATATTGACTTTCTTTAGGTAAAATAAAGCTTTATTTGTGATATTCCAGTAGGACCATACCTAGTTCTAAAAGTCACCAATTCTTCATCCATCTACACAGCTAAAATTCTTCAATTTGAAATTAATTTCCAAACTTTTAATTCTCAGATACACCACTATCTTGAGAGAGGTAACACATTAGGCTGTTTCTCATCCTTTGTCAGGAAGAATGAGTTGATCAAATCATTCTTTAAGAGTACCTTACTAAGGACCTCGAGGGGATGATTGTAGAATAAGTATAATTTACTTTAGATAAGTATAACAAGAAACCAGGTGGAAAGTGCTAAGTGTTCCAAAACAACCACAGATAAAAAAAAAAGGCCTCTGGCTAAAATTTCCTTTCAATTTGGTAATATATGTATCAACATTTTTATTAAGAAGGTATGCCTATAATCCCAGTGGCTCAGGAGGCTGAGGCAGGAGGACTGCAAGTTAAAAGCTAGCCTCAGTAATTTAGCGAGGCCCTAAGTAACTCAGTGAGAGCCTGTCTCCAAATAAAATACAAAAAGGGGGTTGGGGATTGGTGAAGTGCCCCTGGTTTCACTCCCCCAGTATCAAAAAAATAAAAAAATAAAAAATAAAGCAATGACAGAATCTGTTGATGGTAGATTATGTTACTACATGCATATGTAACATAATGATAATGTGTTGTTTTAGTTAGCGTTCTCACCACTGTTACTGAAAGACTCACCAGAACAATTACAGAGTAGGAAAAGTTTATTTTGGGGCTCATGGTTGGTTTTAGAGGTCTTAGTTCTTATAAGGCTGACTCAATTCCTCAGGGCTCAAGGTGAGGGAAGACATCATGGCAGGAGAGTGTGGCAGTGGAAAGCAGCTCACATGATGATCAGAAGCAGAGAGAGAGACTCCTCTCTCCAGACCCAACTATCCATAGCCACGCCCCCAATAAACCACTTCCTCCAGCCACACCCCACCTACCTTCAGTTACCACCCAGTGAAACCCATCAGAGATTAATTCAGTGATTACATTAAGGCTATAACTTGGTCATTTCTCCTCCAAACCTTCTTGCATTCTCTCACACATGAGCTTTGGAGGAACACCTCGCATCCAAACCATCACATAAATCTTCTACTTCAAAAATGTGAGGATATTTTAAATTTATCAGTAAATGATGAAAAAGGAGACAAGCTCAGGTACATAATTTCTCCATTTTTTTTTTGTTTGTTTTGGTTGACTTTTAGATTGACACTTTAGAAATGATTGGAAAATAAGCCATATTGTTTTAAGAAAAAAAGACAAGCTTGATTTCTGGGAATAGTTGTACAGAATTTTAATCATGTCTTTGGAGACGTCTGTTGAAAGTGTTCTTACACTTATAGAATTTCTGGTTCTTATCAAAATATGCAAAATTACTGATCCTACTTGGCTTTTCCACAGATGAGCTTTTAAAAAGGGTTGTTTATGCTCATGTTCTAAAGTTTTCTGCCTCCTTTTCCTCTTTACCTTGCTGTGTTCTGGTTTCTTTCCCAGCCACTCCACCGAAATTGCTCTCAGTAACATCACTGTTGATTTCTAACCTGACAAATTCAGCCAATGATTTCCAGTATCCTTTCGGTACCATTTCATGCTGTTAGTTCCTCCCTCCTTGATACTTGCTCTTTCTATCAGTTCTGTAAATCTCTCTTGCTCCCATTTTCTCTCTCTCTCTCTCTCTCTCTCTCTCTCTCTGTCTCCCACTTAAAACCTCAGACTCTTTCATGGGCTTCTCTTCCTCCACAAAATAGAAAATGAAATTAGTTATAGATCATAATTTCATTTTCTATTTTTTCTCATTCTTTCAACATATATCCCTAAATGAATATACTTACTCTTTAGATTTACCTACCGTTTTTATTGGTTGTTCCAGTCAGGGTAATGGAGCCTACGACAGGGTCAGCACCTCTGAGTCTAGAGGTAAAAACTGTTCTAGTGAGTGGAACTATGGAACTGGGGATAATAGAGAATAACAGCACCTTGTCTCTGTGTCTGTTTCAGAGTCTTGCTTTAACCCCTCATGGTGAGCCCAAGCATTATAAGAAAAAAAATGTACATGAAAGATTATATAAAATGAAGGTTTTGATATTCTCCTTTTCTCTCATAAATATACCTTTATAAGTCATTGAGTAACCGTTTTCTAATTGTTTGGGTCTACTAAGTAGCTTATTGGAAATTCACCTGATTTAGCAACTTTCTAGTATTTAATAATAATAAATTTTTAAAAAGACAAGAACTAATGCTGTTACAGTGGTCATTCCAAGAAAATGTGGAGCTTTGAAGCTTTGCATTTCATTGTAAATGCCATCATTTTCAAATTTCAAATCAAACTGTCAGCATTAAGTCAAAGGGACAAACTGCTTATGCTATAAATTCATCATTTTCTATAAGTGTGCATGACAAAAGCATCTCAGAATATTCTATATAAGGTGAATCTTTAGAAAATTATCTTAACAATTATTATTTTCTTGGTATGTATATGGAATCCTTGCTTAATGGAATTCATAGATTGTGACCACTCAGACTGTATTCTTCAATGATCAATGGATGACTATAGAACTGTGGATCAATATGACTAAGTTACATGTTTCGCCTAAGACTGATTATCCCAAGGGTACAGTTAATTTAGGAAAGGAAGTAATAGGAGATGAAAATATATACTTTCCTCTTGGGGCCTGGAAGTAAATAAAACAAGTAGTAACACCATTTTTATTTTAAAAAAACAAAATGTAATAGACATCTTTTCTCAGAAAATTGTTCCCCACTCACTGAAGTTTTTCAAACATGTCCCCATATCTCAGTCATGCTGCTTCTGGCCCCTGGCTTCTGACAACTATGCAGTATGTACTGTAATATACCAATGAAGACCTGGACCAGACAGACTCAGAGGAGAAGTTTTCAGACACACACACACACACACACACACACACACATACACACACACACACGAATTAAAAATAGAAAGGACCAAACAACCAACCAGAGTTACAGAGAGTGGTCCAGGTCTCTATGATGCCTGAATGCTATTCCCCTCGTAGTCAGTCTTTAATACAGCACTGCATTCTTTTAATTAAAAAACACCCTGTTTTGATTGAACTGTTTTGATTTGGAATATATATGTGTGCTTGTTGTCTACTCTTCTCCTGCCAAGAAACCCCTTTCATCTGAGAACAACTTGTTCTATCCTTCGAAATTGTTTTTGCCTGCTCCTTGATTTGATTTTACTTTCCTCCTATAACTTTTGTGGAAGGTGCTA